GAGAGAGAGAGAGAGAGAGAGAGAGAGAGAGAGAGAGAGAGAGAGAGAGAGAGAGTTCTTCTTCTTCCTCTTCTCAGTCCACCACCTCCCCCTCACCCTCTGGCTACCTGACTTCACTGCATCAGCAGACAACGAGAGAGAGGGATTGGTGACATTTGGATTCAGACTCGACATTGGGCTTCAGACATTTGACGAGGGATTATCTGGGACTTGTACCGAAGACTTGGTGTTGACGACATTCCCATCACCCCCCCTCTTCTTCGTCTGATCCCCTCCTCTTCGTCTGTGTATGGTCTGGACCTGGCGCATTCTTCCTATGTGTAGCGCCAGGCCCCCCTCTTCACACCCTGTGATGAGGATGATGTATGTTTGGTCTGCATTGTGACATTGATTGGGCTAGTCATTGGTATTTTAGCATCCCGCTGCGCTGTCTTGTACTACGTGAGAGAGGTCAGTCCCGGTCAGGTCAGGGCTTATATCTAAGTCTTCCACTGCGCTACAAGGTGCCATTTTGTATGTATCAGGGTGTACATTGCTTATTGAGATTCCACTAACACTGTGTTGTCCATTCAGTCCTTTTTATCACATTGCGGATCCTTGGCTATACATACATTGCCCAACTGGGCATGTAACACACACACACACACACACACACACACACACACACACACACACACACACACACACACACATGCTTTTTTCTGGCCCCGACCACACACACACACACACACACACACACACACACACATACACACACAGACACACACACACACACATGCTTTTTCTGCCCCCGACCCCATCTCTGTTTTTCCACTCACTTCATTCCTGCTTTGGATGACAATGCCGACAAACTCAAGCTCAGTGAAGAAGTTCCCAGCCCCAATGCTACTCTACTGCCTATCAAATCCCATCCAGCACCTAAAACCCAAGGCCAGCCCAGTGATTTGCTGGGGCTCGGGAAGGCTAACCTTAAACCACCAGTACTTTTGACACTTCCCTTCCCAAGCCTGGAAGCAGCCTGTGCGCCAAAAAAAAACAAAAGCGAACAGGCGCTGGCCTTCTTTTCGCTGGCATTGCGGCTTAAGGCCACTATTCTAAGCACTGGCCAATCCAAACAGAGAGACTGTTTCAAAGTTTCATCATTGAGCCAGGACAAGGGTTAATGGAGGACATGCGTCGATATATTCATGCACACAAATAACTGGACTCGATGACAACATGCCCATATGCATCGCATATTCAGCCGTCTCTGTGCTCAGGTGAAAACATATTTAGTCATTTCTGGAGATGAGGGAGAGTGCAGACAGACTCTGCAGAGACATTCTGTCAATGCCTCCTCCACCAAATTATAGTAGTCGTAGCAGTAGTACTAGTAGTAGTAGTAGTAGCAGAAGTTAAGCGTGAGAGTGAGCCGATGACTTTCGTTTGGCATTCGCATCTAACGGGGTCGTATACAATGGGTTCAAAGAGACGGAGTAGGGAGGATCTCTTCCTGCGTGCTCCGATCGCGTTGACAGTGTACTAATTCCGTGCGCCCCCATAGGGTCAATGCGATTGACTTCTGCAGCGGCACCCTGCGGGGGCAAACTCAAATCGGGCAGTCTATCCTCTCCGAGAGGTGTGATGTATGGATAATAATAGAAATGTCTACCTCCTCCAAAATCAAAGCATCCATGCGTATTCAGGAATGGGACAAGCTTACGAATAATGAACGCTATGGTGAAGGTTACCCCTGCCACGCACGCTCCAACCGTTGCCATCCAGAACAATACGCCCCGTTTGGGGACAGCCTTAGAGCTAGGTAGCATGTTTCGCTGCTCAAAAACATAAAGCTTGGTATTTGCTGAGTCATTCGCGCCCGCTGTGATAAAGGATGCGGGTTCCCCGGACGCAGTTCGAGTTGCCGTCTCCTTATTGGAAGCATAAGAGTTTGTGACATTCTCATGGCCAAACCCTGTGCCCACTCCAGGATCATTATCAGGAATTCCAAGTGGAGGCGAGCGGATGGTGTAGTATATGTCCTGGATGGTAGGAGAAGCCCTCAGTGGATGAGGAGGAGGAGGAGGAGGAGGAGGAGGAGGAGGAGGAGGTGGTGGAGGAGGACCAGGAGCATCAGCAGCTGCCGGAACAGCAGAAGCGGCTACTCCCACCACGGATGGGTGTTTCCTGACCATGACTTTGTTCCATATAGAGTTTCTGCCCCGAGCTTTCTCCTGCTGCGGCTGGCTTCCCGTTGGAGTGGTTTGGACAGCGACAGAGGTGGGGAGAAAGGGGGAGGACAAGGGAGAAGGTGGTGCTGGAGATTTATGACTGGCTGACGATGACCTTCTCAGCGATGAAGAATCTGGAATGCCGCCGAGTTCCGACGACAGGGCTGGGAGCAGCGACACCTCTTCGGAAGATGATGCCAATGGGGAAACAAGTCTAACTGGCAAATTGCCAGTGCTGAACCCAGTGACCACCTCCTCCTCCTGATGCTCCTCCTCCTCCTCCTGATCCTGGTGTTGCTTCTGGGCTACAACGTCCGTCCTTCTCGTGCCATTATCGTTGCCATCACGACTCACAGCATAGATAGCATGAACTTGCTGCTCCTTGATCAGTGCAACAACCTCTTCTGTGGTTGTTTCAGACCTGAATCGGTCCAGATGCATCTCCCCTAAGACTACTCTCCTGATTCTGGAAAGCGCTGCATCGGATCTCGCTGCTTGAGATGATTTGAGGAGGGATTCCATCATCGCAACTGCAGCTTCCATCCCTTTTGGCTGGAAGGCGTCCGCTGTACGATAGATTGCATGGTTGAATCGCCGAGTGTAATCGGCAATGGCATTGCGAACGTCCTCATTCATGTTGGCTTGATCTTGTTCCAGTCCCTTGATAGCCCAGATTATTGTGCAAGCGTTGTCGATGAGCAAACAGAGTATGTCAGGCCGAGAGAAATCAACATTACGCATTGGATGTCTTTCCGGCCCCTTTATGCTGGGCATGCGCTCAGTTTGTAAGATTATTTGCACCATAGCTGCAAGAACCAGCTCCGATACCTCCTCAAAGTCTGCCTGAGTCCCTGAAATAGCATGAATAGCCGTGCTGATCTGCAGAAAAGAGAACATGCAATTTTGCATCCGCAGGCATACTGTTATATACTCTAAGACTGGCAACGCTTGTCTTTGGCCAACACTCGTCTTTGGCCTGAGTGAACTGAACACACTGTTTTGGCGCTCATTACAATTTTGATGTTTTGTGCGACGTTGCCTGCCTGGTGGCTGAATGGTACACTCCTTTTTTTTTTTTTTTTTTTTTTTTTTTTTTTCAATCCGAACCTCTCGGTTCTGGCTCCTGCCATTCTGGGGAGCAACAGTCCGGTTCCTATTCCCCCGGCTACACACATGCAACTGTCGATCAGTAGGTCGACTGTTCAAACACACGGGTGATAATAATGCTATAGCCCAGTGACTATTTCCCTCTTTTATTTTTAACCCCCACTGCCCCCCAGTTTAAACGAGCCACAGTCGACAAAGCTAACCTTCCAAGGCTCACAACCCTCCATCTGTTTCTTTTCATAGTGCCTTTCCGCGTTCAGTACCAGCCTAGGCCCGAAGCTCCATGGGCTTACCACCGCCCGAGAGTGTGTTGTTGTTGTTGTTGTTTTTTTTTTTTTTTTTTTTTTTTTTTTTTTTTTTTTTTTCACAGTGCAAAGTGTTCACACTTAGACGTGCATGGCTTAGTAAAAAATTGGACCATTTCTCGATTTATGCGTGTCATCCTTGCGCAGGGGCCATGCTAATCTTCTTTCTCTGTGTATTGTTCCAATTTTAACGTCGGGCGGACAGGTATTTTAAACCAACTTTTTTGCACGAGTCCCTGAAAATTCTGTTTTCCATTTGCCAACTTTCCTCTTTCCCCTGCAAACAGCGCCTTGCGCCGAGCTCGGTGTTGCATGTTGCATCCCCTCTATCACGCGCCCAAGCTAACATATGTTGGATCAAATCAAGTTCAGGTTTTGGTTTGTCGTTCAGGCATAATTACGCTTTATATCAGATATAAGTTCATATAACCAGCCAGGCATTATGGGTGCTTCACAAATCAATCTTTGTTTTCGAGTAAAAAATAAATAAATAATTTAAATAAATAAATAAATAAAATCATCGTTTTCGAGTTGTTGTTTAACCTCTTCATATAAGTTCATACTACTTCATAGTATACTAAGCGCTGTCAGCACACTTTTTGGTACTCGTGGGTGGCGTTCAAACCCCATTACATATTCAAATGAAATTCCGAAGCATCAATTCATCGTGTTTTGAAGTTCTTCAAAAGTCATACCCCAACCAAGGGTTCAACTTCCTTATTGAGTCAACATTTGAACGCAGCATTGCACAGGCCGTCCGTCAATTGCGTTCCAATCTGCAAAGTAGAGAACCTACTACGGTAGGTTGCATTGACACCATATTGGGGTTCTTTTTCAGAGTGCAAACGCCACGTATTCCCCTGAACATAACACATGGTAACCATAAGCCTAAAAGATGATAACGGCTAGGCTGGTCCCCGGGCCGCCCGGCGGCCTTGTGGTCGCCCGGTGTTACATCTTCGACGCCACACGGGCCCTACCGGACCCGACTTAGGGCTAGAGGGACACAGCAGGGCCTAAAGGCCCGGACTTGGGGTACAGCAGGCCGTAAAGGCCACGTTTTTGGACCAGACCGATGGGCAGGCCCAAACGACATTCTCGTTTTGGGCCTGGCGGTGCTTTTGAGCCTGCCGCCCGCCGATCTGATCTGAACCGTCGATCTCGACGGTTCAGGTCACAGCCAGGCCTCGCAGCATTGAGGCCGGACTCTTGGCCACCGGTACTTATACCGGTACCAGCCTCATTGTGAGGCATCGAGCCACTGGCATGCTGCATCAGCGCCAGTGCGTATCGGTTGAGGCAGCAGCGCTATTCTTAGCACAGGAGCGAGGCAGCATCAGGGGCAGCAGTGCGAGCTAGCGCAGCAGCAGCGGCGAGACAGGAGCGAGGCAGCAGCCCTCAGCAGTACGGCGGCCATAGCCGCAACCTGCAGTCGGACTGCAGCACAGCCAGGTACCAGGAGGCGAGAAGTCTTCTTCTCCCTCCACGGCTACCGGCTGTCCCCTCCTCATCTCCTCCTCTCCTCCTCCTCTGCCATCTCTCCCTTCTTCTTCTTCTTCTTCTCCTCCATCTCTTCTTCTTCTTCAGACTTCTTCTTCATCTTCTTCAGACTGGAGACCTGATACTAGTTGGACAGAGATCAGTGTTGGACTTCGGTGGTAAGAGGCTGTGGTACTTACCGGGTTCGAGACTTGGAGATTGTTGGGATGATACTCGGCTGCATCACAGATTGGACACCGGTTACATTAGGACTCTGTATCTCCGACATTGGTGACTTATTGTCCGCGACATTTGATCTTGTTCGATAACATTTTGGATTACCATATCGGTGACCTACTGGTTTCTATCTCGGTGACATCTGGTGCTACCTACATCTCCCACCTCCTTCGTCTCTCCTCCCACCTCTCATCTGTGTATGTTTGTACGGGGCCTGAGCATCGTCTGTGCTTGGCTCAGACCCCAACATCTCACGATTGTTTGTGTGTGGAGTGATGTCTGTGTGAGTCAGTCTGTGTGAGTCAGTCCATTATCAGACTTCCGCTGCATACATGCTCATCCTACATTGGTTGATCTTTGGTTCTGCCCCATACTCGTTGAAGTATTCACGAGTATGCAACACCCGGGGGGGGGGGGG